ATTTTACTGACCTCGAAAGTATGGAAAAATGAGTCAATCTTGAATTAATCAGGATCAAACTCCTGGCAGTGGGTAGAGTTATCCTAGAATTGCATTGTAACCACTGAACCACTGTGGCTCTTAACATTTTCTAAAATGATAGTTTATTGCATCAAAACCCAAAAAGAAATTTAGCATGCCTTAACAATTTGTTTATGGCATATGCTTTTATAGGCCAGTCTATGTCATCAGATACATGCTACGTGGAGTTAGAAGCACAATAATTGGATAGTTTGATTATTTGTGGACTTCTAATTAGTTAGATTAAAGAGCAATAAAATTCAAACAGTTGGATTGTGAAAGTGACTGAATAATCAGATTTACAAAATATAGGTAAAAACAAAGGAAGCTAAATGGAGTGTTTTTATTTTCTGTATTTTAGTTTCATGAAGCTGTCACCCAGAAATCCAGAAAAATATCTTGCATTTTTAAAATGAAATGAAAGCAAATGAGTTTTATTAACTATAGGTGAAATGAGTGCCTGTATTTTAATCTTGTACTTAAATAAAATTAGTGATATTTACATTTAGGAATAAGTAAATTTTCTACCTATGTTTTATTTGACTTATTTCCTCTGTTTGCATGATATACTTAACTGGGTCATGGGGAGGGAAATGTGATACACAGACTCTAAAACCTAGCCAATTAATCCAGAGGAAGTTAGATATAATCCCAAACACACCCGGTAATCCGTATTATTTGTTGTAACAAGGTACAAGGTAATGAATTGACTGGGGGAAGGGATTGCTCAGTCATTTCTGACATGCAAACAGGACCATTAATTCCAATTTATTAGTCATGCCAATTTTTTCCAGTGAAAAATGTTATGCTTACAATGATACAATGTGAGCACTGATAAATTCTGTTCTTTGCCTATGACACAGTGGGTGTGATCAGAATTCCAGTCATCTGGTAGCCTAGGTGGGATTAGTTTTAGCTCAAAACAGCACAGGATTCTTTGAAATTAACCTAACAGCTGACAGTGGGTCATTCTTCTTTTTCTACCCCCACAAAGCATCATCTACAATAAGAGCAAACCTGCAGAATGGCACTGATTTAGGAACTTATCTTTTTTTTAAAAAAATATTGTCCTTTCTCAATAGTTAAGGAAAAATAATGGAATCTCCCTTGGCTCTGCACAGTGGAACTGACCCTGATCCGGGCATATGGATTTTTAATTGGGGAGTGGGAGGGCAACATAAAAAAAAAGAGAAAGAGGTACTCTCAGTAACTTTTTGTGACAGCTGGAATGCTATAAAAATTGTTAGCAGGTATTTGACCAGGACATGGTGATCTGTGTTACTGCTTTGTGGGGTCTTTATTCTGGGAGAATGTTTGACTAGATAAATTGTGCTGTTCCATAGCTGCTGTTGTACTGATAGATGTCTGAGAAAATCCATATTAAAAAAATAAATTTTGAGGTTTCATTTTTATTTGATGGTAATTCATCAGATGTGTAAAGAAAAACAAGATGGGTCTGTGGGCAGGAATCTCTCATATATCATAATAATCGTTAGAATGTTGGCCATTACTGTAGATACCCCCAAAGCTCTGGAGCTCATTGGAATACCATGGGCTAGTCAGAGTCTCTGGCTGTCAAATTCCTATACTGTATATATACAATAATATAACACAAAATGCAAAATGAAAGTATAATATACAGAAGGTAGCAGTAACAGTATTTCAAAACCTAAACCAATATAAATCATTGCATTAATACAAATTGCAAAATAACTAATGCATTAATACAAATTAAAAACTAATTAGGATTTTAGGATTTTATTGGAAATTTATATGCCGCCCTTTTCCCTGAGGGGACTCAGGGCGGCTTACAACAATGAAGGGAAGGGAGTGCAAGACAAGACTTAAAAAGAAAAGAATCGTGATAAAAAGAAAATTGATCATAAACACACAACATTCACTCAACATTCGGGCGGGGTGAGAGTAATCCTATCCCCAGGCCTGACGGGATAGCCAGTTCTTAAGGGCTGTGCGGAAGGCCTGGACTGTGGTGAGGGTACGGATCTCCACGGGGAGGTTGTTCCATAATGTCGGAGCTGCAACTGAGAAGGCTCTCCTCCGCGTAGTCGCCAGTCGGCACTGACTGGCGGATGGAATTCGGAGGAGGCCTACTCTGTGCGATCTGATGGGACGCAGGGAGGTGATTGGCAGGAGGCGGTCTCTCAAATAGTCAATTAAAAGCCAACTAAAAAGCCTGGTAAATAGAAAGGTTCTCTCTTGTACAGATCTACTTCACTTCCTTTGTGGAAGTGGATCTCATTACAGTAGAACATCTTGAGGTCTGTTGGGAGGTCCACTAGAAGATTTTAACTAATTAACTATTTGACTTTTAAGAGGATAGTTAAGAGGATTAAGCAGAAAAAAAGGGATGAGAAAAATGTACTCTGACCTTCTAAAAAAAAGTGTTACACAAATGCAATTAATATTTTATAGGCTATACTTACATTTAAAATTTTGGAATAATTATTGTTTATGACAGAAATAAGATGTTTTCTGATATTAAGGGTGAAACGACCAGAGTCAAACTGAAGGGAACATTACCATTCTCTACTTCTTTAACCTTCAAGCTATAGTAGAAAGAAGCTCATTTTGACACAGTGGTTTGGGTGTGGAGAAAGAGTTTAAAATCTACATGATTAACTTAAAATATAATAGCTTAAATAAAAATTATACTATATTAAATATTGTAAATTGTAATATATGCTGACAAATTAAAGTAAGCAACAAAGGCAGAAGTGGTATTCAGCAGGTTCTGACCAGTTCTGGAGTAGTTTGGAGAACCGGTAAATACCACCTCTGACTGGCTCCTCCCCCATCTATTCTCTGCCTCCCGAATCCCAGTTGATTATAAGGAAATGTGGATTTTGCAGTAACCTTCTCTGGAGTGGGGAGGGAATGGAGATTTTACAGTATCCTTCCCCTGCCACACCACCAAGCCACCCCCCAAGCCATGTCACACCCATCAAGCCATGCCACAGAACCGGTAGTAAAAAAAAAAAAAATCCCACCACTGAACAAAGGAATAGTAATTTTGTCTGATTTTTGTATTATAATTTCAGAATGGATGCCTATGGGCCTGATATAGCAAAACTATAGAGATTGTGCCATCTTAAAGTATATTTTATGGTTTGTATACCAGGCTAGCCTATTCAACCATGAGTAAACTAAACTAATATTTGTGAATCTGCCACCATGTTACTAGTATTCAAATCAATTCAAATATATATACAAGTGGGAGATATTACTAGCAGTGGAATGCTAATATTCGCAACTCTTTTATATACATTAAACCTTCTGAAATTACTACATGGACTTACAATGCTATACAATACTTTGAAGTCACTGATAGTTATATCAAAAAATGTGTTCATTTGCAGTAGGTGATATTACTATGAAAATAAGTACGACAGCTAAATAGTTAAGCTGAAAATTCTGTGTTATAATGTATTAAATATTTTATTATTGTTGTTATTTGATGTAATTTTTGTTCTTGGCTCATTGGATATACTAATATTTCCTCCCCTCCAAATGTATTTATAGCACACATAACATGTAGTTTGTAACAAGAGATAATTTTAATCCAAAGAACAGAAACAAATATCCATTTCACATATCCAATTTATTGTTTTATTTATTGAATCTTTATTGGATTGCGACCTTTTGACAATTATAATATATGTTCCACCCTTATGGATAGTAGATGTGTCTCTGCCCAGAGACCCAGTTGCTTGGCCTACTGCATGAGGAACTGGGAGAGAGTCCTCCCCCCCCCCCCGATGGTTGATATGGCCTTTGTGGCTGTGTTGTCTGTGAGGACCAAAATGTGTTTGTTGGACACATTGTCCTGGAAGTGAACAAAGGCCAGATGGACTGCCTGAAGTTCCAGCCAATTTATGTTGTGGCTCAGGTCTGACTGGGACCACTGACCTTGAGCCATCATCTATTGCTTTTTTTTTAATTAAAGTTTTTTATTTTTTTCATTTTCATAACACATAACCACATTATACTGTTACATAACCAACATAATTTTATATTATTAAATATTAACATCAATTTGTCTTACCATCAACTCCCAAAAAGCAATTATTGGCTCCTCTGCTCTCCATACACCATATTACCCTGTCCATTACTTTCTTACCCTTCTTTCCTCTTCCTCCCTACCTCCTTTCTACCTTCTGTCATTCTTCTCTACTTCCCCTTCCTCTCTTCTTCTCTCTTCCTCTTTGGTGGCAACTATGCATTTCCTCTGGCTTCAGCAGTGGCAAGCGAATGCCAGTCAGAAGTGGAGACTAACATCTGCCCCTTCTCGTTGGACCGCTTATTTGTGGACCACCTAGAGCCCCTCTTGGTCAAATCTAGGGACAAGCGCAAGATTTTGCCAACTCTTTATCAGCAGGCTGAGCCTTGCCCTCGCCCCTATTGTCAATTCTCACCCTTTCAAGGGTTGGATGGGGGGATTCAACCTCCCTTGTCCGCAGAGACAATTCCTTTCCAGAAAAGGTCAGCAGCAAGATATGGCAGATAGGAGAGTTATTCACTATTGGTGGGATGCAAAAAATACAGTACATAATGTTATTCCCTTTAGCTTCCTGCATTGGGCTTCAGCCCACAAATATTAGGCTGCAATCCCATAATTTCTAGTCATTATGAAGCTGCACTGATGCTACTGAATATTTCCCTTTTGATGCAGGTGAAAGCAGAATCTCTGTCAGCATAATTTAATAAACCCAATTGTTATTGATATAACTGTATTTGGTAAGAAATAAAAAAATCAAAAATCTGTAACTTTTGCATAATGTGAAACTTATACTTAGAAAACAGAAATTTATACCTAATGGTCAGAATAGTATAAATTCTGATGAATCACAAAAATATTTCAATTAATTAAATATGACTTTTCTTATTGTACTTTGCAAATATGTCTTATTGATTATTTATAGACATAAAAAACTGGCAATCAAGATGGAAAATAATGTAACAACAATTTCTCGAGAGGAACTGGAAGAACTAAAAGAAGCATTCAATAAAATAGGTAAGTTTGCTGAAGTTTTCCAAGATTTAGTTAACCCTTCATACATAATATTATATTATATATAAGAATAGTCAGATTGTCATGAAAGAAGCAATCTGTCATTTCTTTGTTAGTTTAATGAAGAAACTGGAACACTTCAGTCATTTGTTTTTCTTTAGAGGTAAGTTTTTCCACTATACTCTGAAATCTATATTTTAGTGAAATAAATAATATTCTTCTCTTTCTGCAAACAACTGCTGTTCAATCTGAGATTTGTGTTTCACTCTATGTTTGTTCATGATACTATGTGGCTTTGGAAACTCAACTACCATATTTTTTGGAGTATAAGGCGCATTGGAGTATAAAATGCACCAAGATTTTGAAGAGGCAAATTAAAAAAAAAAGTTTTTGCACTTTGCAGACCTCCCGAAAATGGCTCATTTTGTGCAAAAATGGGCCTTTTTTGTCAAAAAGGGGGGCATGCATAGCTTTTAGGAGGCTTTTAGAGTGTTCCTGGGGGCTGGCGGGGCACAAATGAGCAAAAAATGGCCAGTTTTTTGTGAAAATGGGCCTTTTTTTCAAAAAAAGAACATGCATGCCCTTTAGGAGGCTTATAGAGTGCTGGGGGGGGGGGCAAAAACGAGCAAAAACCTGCCTGTTTTTCACTCATTTTGTCGATCTCAGGCCTCAGGAGCATCTGGAAGCCTCCTAAAGGCGATGTATGGCCATTTTTGCAAAGGAGACGGTGTTTCAGGAGCCCAAAAATGCTGTATTCAGTATATAAGACGCACCCAGATTTTCACCCTTTCTTTTGAGGGAAAAGGGTGCGTCTTATGCTCCAAAAAATAAGGTAATTATCTTCTTATCACTAGTTTCAGAGGATGGTTATAAAGAGAGATAGAAGATTTTACATTGATAGGGACTTGTAATATGACTAGTGAGTAATGAATTGGCATATAATAGACTGAATAAAGGAGCAAGGTAAAATCTTATAAAAATTAGTTTTGCAAAAATAAATATGAGACAGATATAACGGAAAAGAAATTGAACACAAGGAGTCCAACAAATTATACTGTATGGAATGCTTCTACATTAATACACAAAATCTGTGTTAAACAAGATGAGCTAGAAATCATGAGGTATAAAGGCAAGTATAATATAAAAAAGATTATGTAACACAGTAAGACGAATCCCACCGGTGGAGCATTGGATTTAATAGGTAAACTTTATTTCAGAGGAACAGATAACACGTTATATACCAGAAAGGAACTTAACTACACAGAGATCCATTGGACTGAAAATAACATGTTATTTGAAATGGCATGTTGAAATGTGCTATGTTCCTTGGGTCTGATGCAGACTACCAAATCAGTCATTAGAGGTACATGATGATTTTATAAAGCAGGTAATTGAAGCTTTAAAAAATCATGAAGTAATTGTAATGATATATCCAGATATGAATTGAAAGACTAATTTTGTCAAACAAAATGTGTAATAAATTTTTTATCTACATTGATGATAATTTTCTCTTTCCAAGGACAAAATTGCAGTGGTTAGTAGGCCAATTTATTACCTTAAACTTGTCTTTTACTAAAGATATTAAATAAGGGTAAGTTTGGATGCAATAGCTACATTGTTAGAATTTTTGATTTAACAAGCACTTGAAAAAATATCAACTTAAATAATGGTTTTTAAATTGGCCAATACAATAAACTAATGGAAATGATAAAAAGATAATATGAAAATAAAATCTTAAACATACTATAATTGCCTGAAATACCTTGAAAAGAAAATTAAGAACAGTACAATATCAAAAAATACGAGAAAGAAAACTAGGAAACATCTGAAGATCCAATGAATGTTAACACAACTTCATCTTCACAACAAGGAATAAATCAGAAAAACAAAGGTACAAGGTGAGATAAGGTTAGCAAGAAATGCAGTTATCTAGCAACTTTATGTTACATCAAATATGTTGAAAGCATAAGAAAACAGAATGAATGAAGCATAAGATGTGATGAGAAAGACATATAACAATAAACACACACACACAGCCCACAGAAGACTCTTAAAATATGAATATGTTCTCAGTTAATCTGTTTGAAATAATAATATTTCAGCAAAAATACATTATCTATTACTAAAGATAGCCTAAATTCAAGGTGATAACAAAATAATGAAAATGTATTATTTTAAAACAGCAATTGAAATATCAATAGTAACAAAGCAGTTTTGTTTTGCAATTTATAGACATTGATAATAGTGGATATGTCAGTGATTATGAACTTCAAGATCTTTTCAAAGAAGCAAGTCTTCCATTACCTGGCTATAAAGTTCGTGAAATTGTGGAAAAAATTATAGCAGTGACAGATAGTAACAAGGATGGCAAAATCAATTTTGAAGAATTTGTATCGGTAAGTAAACTAATATCCTAGGCTATATCTTAATCTGAATATAGCTGGGTTAGAATTAATTATGTATGAAACAAAAGGTTATTATTAAAATATATTTTAAAATACATGCCACAAGCTATGGCTTTACTCTATACATCACATTGCTCAATAATGTACAATATTCCTAAAATGTACCCCACACAGTCAAAAACTGATGGGTCTGTCATGTTAGTTGAGGAATGGTTATATAGCAGTAATATGTAAAGTTATATATCACTCCAGAATGCTTTGCAGCATTCTCTAAGCTGTTTACAACATTAGCATATCGCCCCCAACAATCTGGGACCTCATTTTACCAACCTTGGAAGTATAAAAGGCTTGAGCTGGTCCTGGCAGTGGGCCTAGTTAGCCTGCAATACTGTATTCTAACCATTGCACCACCACATCTCAAACATATGATATCCTGTTTTGTAACTTTCACAGTATTTATTTACATTTATCAGCCAGCCAACTTTAGCAGTATAGTGACAGCTTTTGAACAACAGCTCTCAAAATAATAATTTTAAAAAATTAACTTTGAAAATGGGTGTAAGACCTTTTTAGTAGCTATACCTTACAAAATCTACTCTTGTCCTTGCAGTTGTTGATTTCAGGGCAGCACGTGGATCTTCACATCATTTGCTACAGGAACTATAAATTAGTCTGTATATCAATTATAACAGGTTGTGAAATGATGGCTGTTAAATTTAGTGCAATTATCAAATCCTCTTTGCCAAGGAAACTGATAGAATAATGATAGGCACATCTGGGTGCAATTTCAAAATATCTATGCCTTTTGGCTGCCCTCCACTCTGTGACTAAGAATAATGTCCAAGAAAGCTGCTTCAGTTCACTCAGAGCTGAAGAAACTTTTTCAATGAGGAGTGAAAGATCTTCAAAGAAAAATAAGAAAGTTCAGTTGCCTTTTGAAAAAGCATCTTTGGGACTCCAGTGATGAAGCACCCACAACTTCTGAAGGCAAACTATTCACTGGTTAATTGTTCTCACTGTTAGGAAGTTTCTCCTTAATTCCAGGTTGCTTCCATCCTTGATTAGTTTCCAACCATTGTTTCTTGTTTTGCCTTTTGGTGCTTTGGAAGATAGTAGACCTCCCTCTTTTTTGGTGCAGCCTCTCAAATATTGGAATTCTGCTATTATGTCACCCCTAGTACCTTTTTCTCTAGACCAGTGATGGCTAACCTTTTTCCCATCACATGCCAAAAGCGGGGGGAGTGCAGGGGAGGGTCGTGTATGGGTGTGCCCCACCCATAATGCTATGTGTGTGACCCCATGGCGTGCATGCGCACATGTCCCCTGCCCTCCCCCACACACTTTTGGCATGTGATGGACCCGGTTTTTTACCCTCCCCAGGCTCCAGAGACTTTCTAGGAGCCTGGGGAAAGCAAAAACAGCTCCCCCCCCTGAGGCCCTCCAGAGACTTCAGGAGGCTTCCCTGAAGGCTCCGAAGGGTGAAAAATGGCCGGAAAAAAAGGCCGAAGTCAACTGACCAGCACACGCATTTGTGCCGGAGCTGACAGAACAACGCCTTGCATGCCCTAACAAATGGCTCTGCATGCCACCTGTGGCACGTATGCCATAGGTTCGCTATCACGGCTCTAGACTATCCATACTCAATTCCTACAACCAATCTTCATGTTTTAATCTCCAGGCCTTTAATTATCTTAGTTGGTCTTCCCTGCACTTTTTCCAAAGTCTCAACATCTTTTTTTGCAGTATGATGACCAAAACTGGATGTGATATTCCAGATGTGGTCTTACTTAAGATTTATAAAGTGATACTAATACTTCACATGATTTTGATTCTATGTCGCCGTTTATGCAACCAAAAACTGTATTGGCTTATTTGTCTGCTGCCACATACTGCTGGCTCATATTTAAATGATCATCCACTAGGAAGGTCCCTCTCACAGTTACTATATTTGTGCCATGCTTTGCCTAATTTGTACTTGTACCTTGGTTTTTCCTGTCTAGATGCAAAACCTTGCTTTTCTCCTCATTACATTTCATTTTGTTCATGTTGTTTTTCCCCAGGTTATTCAGGAACTGAAAAGTAAAGAGATTAGCAAATCATTTCGAAAATCCATAAACAAAAAACTGGGGATTACTGCAATTGGAGGAACATCATCCATTTCCAGTGAGGGAACTCAGCATTCTTACTCAGGTAAAAAAATTGTAATGTTCAAAGGAATGTTTTTTTCAATGTAATGCTAGGATTAACATTTATGAAGGAATATGGATATGGTTCTTATAATTACAGGATGGCCTGCTCAAAATAAAAGATACATAACAGTATTCCCTATTACGGTTTCTTTTAGAGTGTGCTGAGACAGCAAGGTTGAATCTATGGCATATCTATTGCTCGATTGCTCTTAAAATATATTTTCCTCTTTTATTTTCCAGAAGAAGACAAGGTTGCATTTGTTAACTGGATAAATAAAGCTCTTAAAGATGACCCTGACTGCAAACATTGCCTCCCTATGGATCCATCAGATGCTAGCCTTTTTAAGTCACTTGCTGATGGTATCCTCCTTTGGTATGTTCAATTTTTTAAAAAATGTTTACCAAAATACAGGCTGGTGAGTACTTAAGGCATTATCATCACTTAATTTTGATACTATAAGCCCTATTTCTTTTAGTTGGAAAGTTCAGCAAATTTTGAATTCTTTCATTGAAATAATAAACATTATATATATACAGCTAGTCCTCACTTATGAATATTAATTGGCATTGGGAACCCTGCTGCTAAACAGGACAGTCATAAAGTGCAATATCATGTGACTGTCCTGATTTATGAAGGCAGTTCTTCCAATTGCTGTTATTAGGCAAATCCTCCAGTCAAGGTTTGGTACACAGTTGCTGCTTCTGCATTGTTATTAGCAGTCTCACTGAAGAGTTTTACAAAGAAATCACCCATTCTCCTTTACCTCCCCTATCACCATATCCACCTTGAATAAGAATGAACTGCTATTTTTAACAGCAGCCTTGGATATATATGGAATGCTTTAATACTAATCTCTACTGATCCCAGAAATTATCCAAGTGTAAACATTTGAAAATCAGAATTAAGCTAACTGTTTCCAGCATGATGCTGTGGTCTAACAGCTATTGTCTTCATTCTCCATGCTAGGTCAAAGACAGTTCTGATATTTTTCATCTTGGCAGGGAGGAAATGTATGTTACATGAACATGCATGTACATATGCTTATGCCTCCTGTCTGTGGTGACTAAGTGCAGATTCTTCAGTTAATAACGGTGGAATATTAGTATATGAAAAAACTAAATGAATTACAGCTATGTATGGTGCTAATGTTATTCCATTTATGGAAATAAAATATTCATTCCATAAGTTTTCATATTCTGTATGCCTACTAAATGTTTTGCTATTTAAGGTTCACATTTATGGAGAACTTTAATCTGCCAATCTTTTTAATCACTTTACACTGAATTTCTTTCACATTAAGCTAATAATTATTTTTCTTTATTTTCAAGCAAAATGATTAATTTATCTCAGCCAGATACAATTGATGAAAGAGCAATTAATAAGAAGAAGCTTACAGCCTTTACTAGATCAGTAAGTAAACCATAGCCAAAATCTAATAGCAATTAAGAAGATGAACAAGGCAAATTATAAACTGTAAGACATATATGGATGATGTTTGGGTAGGAGATTAAAATTTGATCGTAGCTCTCATGTAAAATTACATTACAAGATAATGCCAAACTTGAAAATTTCTTACACGAGCCAGAAATGGGATTGATACTAGTGTTTTAAAAGATTAAAAAGAATGTGGTTTGCTTAAAACTTCTGAGTTGCATATATATAATTAAAATGTATTTTAATTTTACAGTTTGGGCCTGAGGTGTGAGCAAAATCTAAAATTACTAAATTATTAAAATTTATTAAAAAATGATTTTGGAAGTTTCTGAATATATAATTAATTTAAATCTACAACTGAAAAGTTGTACCAAGATAAATATAGAAAAACCTGCACTGAGATACAACAAATCAATGTGTTAGAATTTTAAAAAGTCACACTAATGTTCTATGATCTCAAAATGCAATTAATTCCACAGAGGGTTCTCTTTCATGTTTATTGGGCACCCCGAAAATACTGTAGGTAGTTAGATTCCAATGTCCATCTGTAACATTTTGGAAGTGACATAAATTTTATGTTTTGGAATTGATATACATTGAAGACATTTTGGCATAATATTCTCCAGACTCTAAACTTTATGAAACAGGAGATTTATCATTCATAGGATGTAGCTAAGATTGTTTTTTTTATTTATTTATTTATTTATTTATTTATTTATTTATTTATTATTAAATTTATATGTCGTCCCATCTCACTGTCTGAAGCAACTGGTTTTACTCTAGTGGGGGGAAAAGATCCTTAATTAAAAAATACTCTCAGCATAGGAAATAGCTTTTTATTGCATAAAGTATGATCAATATCACTTCAGTTAGCTACAGTTTAATTTGTTGTTTGAGACATGGGTTTCAATTATATGTAAGAGTATTGAACATATATTTTTCTTTCAATATTTTTCTGTATTTTCTTTATCTTTGTTTCAGCTTTCTTATATTTCTTATATTTTATTTTTATATTTTGGTTTTTTTTTGCTTCTGGTTATAGATGAAAAATGCATATAAAAACATGGCAATAAATTGTAACATTTCTAGTTATTTAAACTTTCTCTATATATTATATTGCTGTAGTAAATATATTAATATGTGTGAGCATTTGAGTAGAACAGTTTCCAGGAAGCTTTCTCATTTCTAGCACAGAATTTTGCACATAGTTCTATTACTAAAATATTTCTAACACATGTTTGTAGAACATATCAATTCAAGTTGTTCTACTACCTGTTTTGTTATGCCTATTAACTTCCTTCAATTTTACATTCCCTCCCCCCAAAAAATGTCTTTTTGTTTCATCATAATCCTTTTTTACATTAAAAACTTGTGTGTGTTTGTGTGTGTGTGTATTCATCTCTGATTCGAAAGGTCTTATTTATTTAGCTTTCACATCTCCATTTTTCTTACAGTATTTTATTTAGATGTCATAGTTATATAGCAATTTTTAGAATATCCTAGCACAGGCATATTCTGAGTTATGATGGTAACATTTTATATGGTTGAGTTACTAAAAGAATAAACATAAATTAACAGCTGTATTAAAAAGGGCCTATGCTCTATCAGCTCTTTCAATGGAAAAATACTTAATATTATAGAATAATTTATTAAATACTGACTTTCAGTTTTTCAAATATGCTGAAAACAGTTCAAATGTCAGCTGATTTATGAAATACTTTCTTAGTCTGTTCATTCTACATCTTTTTCTTTCTCTCTAATGTAGTGTTGTTTTTTTGCTTTGATTTTAGGAAAATCTAGATCTAGCACTAAATTCTGCATCGGCTATTGGCTGTACAGTAGTTAACATTGGATCACAAGATCTAATAGATGGAAAGCCACATTTGGTGTTAGGATTACTATGGCAAATTATTAAAGTTGGGCTTTTCTCTGATATAGAGATTTCCAGAAATGAAGGTGAGAATTTTAAACATTCATCAGGAATAATAAATTCTGTAGCTTAAGCATATTCTTTTATTTGTTTTTCTTTTGAAGTTCCAGAATAATATTTATTGAAAACCTTTTCCAGCTCTTATTGGTTTACTAAGTGATGAAGAAGAATTGGAGCAATTAATAAAATTGTCTCCAGAAGAACTTTTGCTACGCTGGGTTAATTACCATTTGAATAATGCTGGGTGGAAGAAAATAAGCAACTTTGGTCAAGACATTAAGGTATATCTTACTTAAACTTGTAGTAAATAAAGCAATTATTACAATCAGAATTTTAAAAATAGAACTAATCAAAGTTTTCATAAATTATTCTGCTGTTGCATTTTAATAAAAAGTATACTATTGAAATACTTTTTGAACCTAACGTATTATTGCCATACATTGCCAACTTATGAAAGACCATTTCTTAAATAAGAAATTCCATGGTCTCAAAAAGCTATTTATAAAACTTATGGAAGAAGAATAAGAAAAATATCATTTCTAGAATCAAAAACTATGGAAGCAAATTAATACTTATAACATTAAAAAATAACAAAAAACAGATTTCCTTACTTTTTTATTATATTATTAAACATATGTAGCACAATTACCAAAAGTTTTGGAATCCAGAGAAGTGGGATAATTGCAACTGGAATTGTTTAGAATTTTGGATCCAGGAGAAAACAACAGAGCCTAGATACCTGTATTTAGAGATTTAATTCATCTAAAAGCTGACCTTTAAGCTGAGGACACCTGGTTCTGCAAAATCTCTATTGTGAGCCAGTAAAACTTGTTGTTGCTCTCCATCAAGATCAGCTTCTGTATTTTTTTTAGCACTGTTTATCCAGGCACCTTTTTATTGCTGTAATTCTGTAGATACATCCCAACATATTACTTTGTGTCTTTTTCAAAGGTGATATCCTCCAAGAAATATGAAAATCCATTAACAAAATATATTCTATGCAGAACCTATATAGAATATGATTACAGGCATATTAGTATAACAATTCCAGTCATTCTCATTTCAGCATCGGATAAGTGTACATTAATCATTTTTGTTTAAAATTTGCATTGTTCAATTCAGGACTCAAAAGCTTATTATCATCTTTTGAATCAAATTGCACCCAAAGGAGGCAACAATGGAGAAAAAGCCATTGCCATAGATCTTTCAGGTTTTAATGTAAGTGTTCTGTTAATTCTTTCAGATTATAGACACTGGCTAGGTTGGCAAACCAAGTTATAGCATTTCTACTAAGCATATCTAACAGAATTCTTGAATAGATAATTAAACAGTATGATTGAATTCCTTTTTTTAAAGGAATGGGTTGCTTTGTATAATCTGACCAACTATGTTTAAAAAATTGATAATCTAGTCATCTGATGTGATGGTTTAATAATGAGTCTTAATGGGGGATACTTTGAGAAAAGCTGGAATATGCTTCAAATATACATTGAAGATTTATTTCAATATATTTTGTCTCACGTTTATATGGTAGAGTCAGTTATGACTTTTTTTTATCATTACATAGTCTTAGATTATACTGATTATTCAAATCTGATCTAATCTGGTTTCAAACTCTGAGACGGAAAAATTTCCAAAACATTTAAGTCTGAGAAAGACATGGCTGCTTAAATTATTCAAACATTATGCTTTGAATGTGCTTCCATAAGTTTAGAGGCACCTGTTTTGAAGCATTTGTAAAAACTTGCTATCAGTTACTTAACAAGTAGAAAATGAAAAGAAAAAAAAACAGATACCTGTCAGTATTCCAGGTAAAACGCTCCTTGGAATATAACAGCGAAGTATGTTACCCTTTCCCTCATTATATAGGCTACTTTTCTTTTTTCATAATAATATATTCTTGACTACTATATTGTGTTGCCTAGTCAGAGTCTGATCTTAGAGATTAAGAAACCCCTGAGGATGTTTCCTTTAGATCTTCTGTAGACTGCTATAGGTGGGCCAAAGCACAGATTCTAAATGCATTTAAATGCAATCATGAATCCTGTAAAAACAGGGTTTTCTTTCCAAACAATTTATGTTTTGCTTCTGCATCTAGAATTTTATGTCTAATGCAAAAATGGATGCATGTATTTTATTTTAAATTTGCAATTTATTTTTCCCCAGGAACCAAATGATTTGAGGAGAGCTGAATATATGCTTCAACAAGCAGATAAATTGGGTTGCAAACAGTTTGTGACGCCTACAGATGTGGTTGCAGGCAACCCTAAACTTAATATAGCCTTTGTTGCAAACCTCTTTAACACATACCCTGCCCTGCAAAAGCCTAAAAACAATTCTTATGATTTCAGTTTATTAGAAGGTAAGTAACTTCAATACATACTAATTGAGATATTGGAGAAAGACTTATTTGTATTTGGTTGTTTATTATTTCTTAATTTAAATAATTCAATGGGGATATTGTTTGCTTGTTTATTTAATAGTGTACTTGTATGTTGCCTCTCCCTTAATGGCTTAGGGCAGCTTAGAGCAATACAATTAAAACAGCAACAGTTTAGTTAAAACAAATGCTAAACCAGATTAAAAGATTTGACTATGATTTGAGCTCCTTTCTAAATCTAAGAAGAGTGAAGTGCTGCCAAATTCTAGCCAGCTGAGTTTCTAGACCACCTTCAAAAACATCCTATAAAGACTAATGCAGTCTTTAGTTGTACAATATTTTCTTCTTCACTTATGGACATGATTTATCAACCAAAGTTGATAAAAGATCTCTTGATTTTATTAATGGTCCAGGATTTAATGCTGTATTTAAAAGGTACTCCCAGATTGCAAATCTGATCCTTAATGGAAAATGTACACTTTTCAAATCCTGAAGTCCACCTTCTGAATCAGAAGCAACTCCATTTTGTCTGTGCGAAGTTTCTCTAACATCAAGTCCCTTGTTGTTCTTTAACTTAATTATATTATTTCATTGAAAGTTTAGTTCACTATGTTTTTCCCAATTATGCTCAAGCCATATAATTTAACATGATTTTTGGGGTGGGTGGGTTGGAGGAGGGGAAATATGCTAGTTTCCATTCAAAACTATGGAGTAAAATTGGAACACACATACCTATAAACCTAATTGCGCAAGACAGTTAAGAATGGAAAAGATTTCCCCAATATACAATTTACAACCATTCTTTTAGTGACCATTTGAAGTTACAATAGCACTAAAAAAGTGACTTGGGACTGTTTTTTATACTTATGACAATTGTAGCATCCCCATGATCATGTGATAAAAATGTGAACACTTGGCAACTGACATGTATTTATGATAGTTACAGTATTTGGGGCTCATGTGACCTTCTGACAAGCAAAGTTAATGGAGAGGAGTTCAAATCACATCAAGATCTTGGATCTTAAACTGTTTTTTTAGATGTTAAGGATACCCAAATACTGAAATTAGGCTAGTGCTCATAATATTACATTTAATAACTTTACAATCTTTCTTCATAAAATGCAGATTTGACTCCTCCTACTTTAGGTACTGTATTTAGTTGGAGGCTTTTGGCTTGTAAAATTATATTTTGAAATCTGTTTTTCCTTTCATTCTGTTACTGTGATGACTGTTCTCTTTGTAACTGTCTTGTTTTTGTGACATATTAGTGTTTTTCTTTTAATATGCCATTACAGCTGTGGAAAAATATTAGTAATAGACATTTATTTTAAAGTCATATGAATTAACTTTACTTGAATAGATAATTGAGTTCTTGGGAGCTGTGATATAAAACCTCACAAATGTGAATGAAACGATAAAGTTGTCAAAAGTGAAAATTCCCTTACCTAAATTCAACTATTTGTTCAAGGCATGTATCAGCTAGAAGGCTTCCAACAGAATAAAAACAAGACAGTTTCTTGCCTCAGGCTTTTAAAATAAAATTATGGAGAAAAAACAAGGCAAACATAAAAAAATAAACTTAGTTCTTAAGATATATAGTAATTATCAGTTGTAATAAAGTTAGAAGTTGCTAGTAGTGTTATCACTATGAACTGGAATGGAAACATTTCAAAAACAGGACAGAAAAATGGCATTCTATATTCCTCTTAGGGTAACCTATTGAAATGATTGCTGGATAATTCTTGAAGAAAACAAGGGCTTTCCCTCACTGCTATGCTGATACACATATCTGCAGTCCTTACCTTGGCAGAATTTTAAGCTTTTAAATTAAGAAATTTGTGCCATTCCCACAGATAAATCCTATTTTGTGTGATAAAGCTGGAGATTAGGTGCTATTCTTAATAGTTTTACAGGTAGTCCTCAGTAAACAGCCAGAAGTTGTATTAGAATTTCCATCACTAAGCAATTTAATCATAAAGTATGATATCACGTGATTGTATTGCTTAGCAGTAATTATCTTAGTACCATTGCCATCATTAAACAAATCCCACCCGGTCCTTAGGCAAGGACCCATCCCAATCCAAACAATTGCTGGGTTGGTACCTCCCAGCATGGGTAAGGCTCCCTCCACATGAACTCCTCCCAACTCCATATCTCCTCCCGCAAGCTCCATGTCTCGTCTCCCCCCCCCATCTCTATATATTTTGGCCAGCAACACTCTGCTAACTCTGCTGCCCTGCATTCTACTGGCCTTTCATCCTCAGCTGATCTTCACCATCTTCTTCCTGCTGCCGCCAAGAAGAATGGCCGGGCTGGACATAACTTCTCAGCATCAGGAGGAAAAAAATAGCAAATATGAACTCGGAGTGACAGGGCCAGCAGAGTACAGGTTGCCAGGACTGATGGAGCGAGGTTGTGAGAGGATGCATGAGAGGCACCATGCGCAAGACGCCTGGCAAAGATCTGAGAGGGTGTAAGAGGGGAGTGCATGAGAGGTGTTGTTCAGGTCTGCAAGGGTGCCCAAGTGGTGCCACACAAGTTGGGAGGGTGCCAGCCCAGTACATGCACAGTGGGCTGGGAGAGGAAGTGCGGGTGGGTGATATACCCAGTGACTTGACTTTCTGGGGAATCCAGCCGGAAAGATTGTAAATGGTGATGACATGATTGCAGGATACTTGGCAAGCAGTTGTAACTGTGAACCTATACTGGTTGCAAATTACCCAACTTGACATCATGTGATAGTGAAATGACTGGAACTCCAAGTACTGGTTGGAACTATAATTGGTTCAGTGCTGTCTTAACTTGGAAACATGACTGGCCATACAAGTCATAGTTTGAGGACTACCTATAATTCCATTTTAGTTTTATTATGCAAATATTCAAATCATATTAGAAATAATACAGTAAGAATAAAAGATAGACAAAATGAATTGTGTTTCGATCAGCAATACTGGCTATAAAACCCAATGGAGAAATTCATCTTATCCTGAACAGCAGCCATGCTTAAGAATAACTGGATTTATTTTCCTGACAAAATGAATGTTGAAGTTACTCCTATTTTGATAACTGAAATTAAACATTCAGCATTTTTCTATTTTGAGAAAGTGAAAAATAATCAGCATGATTATTTGATCATATCCGTTTCTGATCTCTATGTATGCCTATTGCTGCCCAACAATGCGATTACAAAAGAAAAGTGCCACAAGGCATGTTATTACCATGTTCCAGTTTGTGTTGGTTATCTATTATTTATACCTATTCCACGGAAAGCAAATGTGTATATTCTCAAGAAGGTATCTATTAAACACTGAATAAGAATGAAAGGAGTTCTAGTGATGGTAGGTGGTCATAAAGAAGTTTAAGAAATTGATTTTAGAGTGGCATATTAAATATAACCTTTATTTTTTTACTTTCACAGTTCTTTCAGTCAGAATTGATTTTTTTCAGCTTGCATGTTATGTTCTGCATTATTTAGCATGAAGTTTTAATTTTTATTGTGAACTTGCCAAATATACCCTTTAGCACTCCTTCTTTCTATAACCAATTATCTTGGAAGCATGTTAATTTATTCTGAAGTATTCAAAATATATTTCAATTAGAGATTGAAATACCTTTTGAAACAAATAATTTTAACTGAAAGCTGCAAAAGAAAATATAGATTTTTCTGAACTGGGCCATATTGGCTAGTAATATGGGCAACTGAAATGGTCTTTGATTCAAAAGATCTAGACTCATGTAGACCCCAAACATATAATTTGATGGATGGTCAACCACCAAACTGAACTAACTGTTGTAGACACAAAGATTTTTTTTGCTATTGCTGTGCTCTAAATATTTAGCACAATAAGTATCCTTTTTATGGTTTTGATTTAATTTAGATTTCTTTATTTTTCACCCATTTATATATATTTCCACTTTATGATAACATTCTCTCTCTCCTGCTTTGTGATACCATTCCTTCTCTTTGGGATTCAATAGATTTAAAAACAGACCAAAAATCAGAGTATAATTAAATTACTATCTTTCTATTGTAGGTGAAAGTAAGGAAGAGAGAACATTTAGAAACTGGATGAATTCATTGGGGGTTACTCCTTATATTAATCACTTATACAGGTAAAGAAAAAAATTCTTATGTAGTTTTTACCCTGAGCAAAGTATGCTGAAATATACCTGTTAAGTGTTTAAGATTGTTCCTTTGTTTCAAGGTTTGACATAAAATTATACATGGTAATGCAGTAGTACCAATTTCAATCACATTTTTCCTAGTATATCTGTGCTGAATCGTTTAAGCTTATTTGGATTAATGCTTATTTTCTACCTGCATCCAAGGGCAAGATTTTTCTATTTAGCTCAAAACTGTTGTCAGTTTGGGCAGTGTTATTTTTAGGTATATTGATGATTCAAATATGTCCTGAAAATCTATTGGAGAATTAAACTGGTGGCTGCAGTGGAAAGTTGATTTTTTAATAGACAGCTGTCCATTCTTGGAGCAATTTGAGAGCCTACATTGCCTGTTCTTTCTGATCCACCTCTTGAATAAGTATTGTCTCAATACAGTACACTTTTCTGAATGAAATATTAATACAGTAATAGTTTATTATATTGCATTCCATTGGATTTCCCCTAAATGTATCAATGATAACTCAGTATGGAACAGTTCAAACCTGTTCAGTTCAGACTTGAGGAAGTAGAAAGAATCCTTATGACTGTGAGCTCAGCCACTTGCTCATGAGACTCATACACCCTCATAATTGGCTAAGGTTGCTGTGGGGGGGAGGAGTGATATGTGAATGAGTTTTAGTTGGGGTGAATTTGTCCTTGAGACAAGGGTTTCCCCCCCCCCTCTTAAGGATGTGTTGATTTGTCCTTTCCTAAAAAAGCCAATCACTGGATACCACTATATAGGACAACCTCCAACCAGTGTCAGATCTCCCTATTTTAGGGAAGTTCATGGTGAAAGTGATCCACAGCAGGTTCAGTCAGGATCCAGGCCTGGGCATGTTTCTGGACACAGAAATGGCATTGATTGTGCTTTTGGATGATCTCTGGTAGAAGCAGCTGTCAGTAGTACATCCTTCCTGGCTCTTCACATCAAGTGAGCACGCAGCACAGCCACGAGCAAACCAGCAGTAGCGACTGCCGGATTCCACCCCTGCATCACACATCTTCTCCATGAACTGCATTGGTTATTAATTCAATTCCAGATGCAATTCAAGATGTTGATTTTCACCTTTAAAGCCCTATGTGACATTGGGAAGGATTATTTGAGGTACTGCCTCTCCCCAATTACATTTGTTTATCCCATTATGAGCTGTCTTGCTCACTCACACATAACAGTGGTTTAATGATTTTTTTAAATATTCCCCAACAATTCCCTTCACAAAAAACCCAGAACTGTCCCAATTAAATCCAGCCAAAAGCAGACCATTGCTAGTCCACAGAGCAATGGCCAATGAGTCCACAAGGCACTTGAAAGTTTCCCAAACAAGATAAACCCACTAGGAAAAATTAACTCACAATACAAGAAGATTCACAAGGCACGATCCAAATCAAATCAGGTGTCAATCCAAAGCAAGGCAAGAATTACAACCACACACAGGTAGTAAATGAACACATTGTTCCCAGCATCACCACCATCTGTCTGCTGTGCTAAATAGTCAGCTTCTGGTGCAGCCCATCAAGAAGGGCAAGGCTGCCTCCTCAAGAGTAATTGGGCTGACTTTTGTTGCTCCTGGCTTTTCTCTGCCCTATGTTTTCGGATCAGATGCAGAAGGCAGTCCTTTCTTCCTCATCAGACTGGCTACAGCTTCCTGATCAGACTGGCTGCAGCCTCAGGGCTGTTCTGCTGCAGTTGTGGTTCAGCCAATTCCTAATGGCTGCTTGACCAACTCCCTTCTAATGTGCCTGTAAATGGTTCATCCTCCTCCAAACTAACATTTGGAGAAGTATCTGGGGAAGTATCCAGGGGAGTCATCACACTGTAGATCTGACAGGAGATCCCATTTCCATCTGATGGGATCTAGAAAGGTGCCAAACATGTTTTTTTAAATCAGGGCTGGGCATGTAATTGTATGAGGCAAGGACCTTGGAAATGAGGGGAACAGATGCAGCCTAGGGAACAATCAAACAAAAGGGAGTGGAAGTGAAATTTAGTAAGGATCCATCCAAAATTTTGGGTGAAAAGATACCATGGGAAGATTTGTACTTTAGTCTGGCAAGAATCTGTTAATATATCCCTACAAGAAAGTAGAATGAATTCATCTTGTGTTTCCTGTCTGGGCCACTCTCTCAGACAGTACAATCTGGGAGGCTGATAAGTGACCTCCTGGCAGCAAGAAGCTTACAAATGTATAATATTCTGAATTTAACCTTTTTGAAATCTTGGTTTTCTTTATGCTTAATTATTTAAGTTTTTAAGTCGTTTTAAAATGAGTTTTATTTATTTGTTTCATAGTATATCATCCAAAGTCTCTCTGTGTGAGATGGGCTGCTGTATAAATGTGATAAATAACAATATATTACAATATGTATTATCATTACAGTATATGGTGGGATTGTTGAATACAAACTCATAAATTAGCATACCAGATTATACAAAGTATCAAGATCTGAAAATCAAAGTTGAAAGATTATAGCATAAATCATCCATGGTGGACTCACTGGTTATCGGCATGTTGCATGCCATACCAAAAAATCTTGGATGGCATTTAGAAAATCTGTGCATTGACAAAGTTTCTATCTATTAATTACAAAGTATACGCTGCTTAGATCTAAACCTATACTATGCTCAATATATTATGACATCTTAGGTTCTTGGGAAGAACTTATTGCGTATGAAGGCCAACACCAACTAAAGAACTGGTAACTCTGTGTTCACATTGTTGTGTACATAATAATAATAATTGGAAGACTGGCAAGTAATATCATTTGCCTGCAAGCAAGAACTGGTGGGACCATAAAATAGAGAAATAGAAAATGAAGAACGTAAAGTGCTCTGAGACTTTAGAATAAAAACCGACAGACACCTGCCACATAATATCCCAGACTTAGTTGTCACTAAGAAAGATGACATCTCGATAGTGGACATGGCAATATCTGGAGACAACAGAATAGAAGAAAAAGAACCGGAGAAAGTAACAAAATATAAAGACCTGCAAATAGAAATAGAACAACTGTTGTAAAAAAAAGCAAAGGTAGTACCATAGTAATAGGCACCTTAAATGCAATCTCAAAACAATCAGAGCACCACTTGTACCATTATCATTGACAAATTCAATTGCAAAAGGCAGCTTTACTTGATACAGCTTAAATTATGCAATGATATCAGTAACATCTTCAAGCAACCACATCTACCTATCTCATGTCCCTGGGAAGGACTTGATAGGTGGATAAAAATGCCAAGTCCAGTATAACTATCTGGCTGACCTCAACCAATCATAATACTTTAAAATAGTAATTTGTGAGTTGTGGATGATTTTAATAAACAATTTAAATGGGAAATTTAGAAAATGTAGAAGCAGTGAAAATATGTTTTCTGATTAATTAAAGGATAATTATCTTGCTTTTAATTAGAAGAACCTCTTTTTCTCCCTCACTTTGCCAGTGATCTTGCTGATGGTTTAGTAATCTTTCAACTGTATGAAATGATCCGTGTACCTGTAGAATGGAGTCATGTCAACAAACCCCCATATCCTGCACTGGGGGGTAACATGAAAAAGGTTTGTAAATATTTCTGTATTAGTACCTTCATTATCACCACTAATTTCTATTCATCTATTTCAGTTACATGCAAACAGAGTAGATAGTAACTTATATGTAAATTAATATCTCCATTGATAATTTTTATGGATCTATTTGTGATTCACAAAGCCAAGTAGAAATTTGTAACAGAATTTTGAAACTGAGCACTGAAGTAACTTCCATGTTACTATTTGGCTAATATCAAAGCATTGACATACAAACAATAGACTACCACCACCGCTAATAACGTGGATATCAGGAAAAGCAGTGTACAGTAGAGATATAGTTAATTGGCAATTGGAAATTTAATAAATTTATATGCCTCCCAATCCCGTAGAACTCTGGGCGGCTTACAGAAACAAACACAAAAGTAAAAGTTAAAATAAAGAAGAGATACAATTTAAAAAAAACACCAAACATTCCATTTAAGTGGGGCCGGACCTTGATCAACAGCCCCAGGCCTGCCGGAACAGCCAGGTTTTCATGGCTTTTCGGAAGGCTGAAAGAGTGGGAAGGGTCCAGATCTCTGCAGGTAGATCGTTCCACAGGGCTGGAGCAGCTACAGAGAAGGCTCTCCCCCGGGGGGCCGCCAGCCAGCATTGTCCGGTCGACGGCACCCGGAGAAGGCCCAACCTGTGAGATCTTATTGGTCTTTGGGAGGTATGGGGCAGGAAGCGGTCTCTCAGATATCCAGCTTGATACTAAACGTACACATTTGGATTTAATTTATCAGAAAAGTATAATC